CCTAATTTTCGTTCAATTTTTAATTGATGATGTAGATATTATTATTGAAATATTTTCGTTTCATTTTTAATTTACCTTTACTATTGTTTAAAATATGCATTTACTATTGATAATGTAGAATATTATTATTGAAATATTTTTCTCCAATTTTTAATTTTCATTCCATTTTTAATTAAAATGCAATGATCTAGCCATTTCTTTTTTTTTTTTTAGTCAATCATGGAGCATTTTTATTTGCAGTCAATTATTAATGTTTATTTCCTTTTATATTTTCAGTCAATTAGTAATATTATATTCATTTTCAGTCAATTATTTTTTTATCCAGTCAATTACTCAATTAGAATATAGATGTGTAGTGATATTTTTACCTAATTTCCGTTACATTTTAATTTGATGATGTAGAATATTATTAATGAAATATTTTCGTTCCATTTTTAATTTACATTTACTATTTTTTAAAGTATGCCTTTACTACTTGATGATATAAAATATTATTACTGAAATATTTTCTTTCTATTTTTAATTTTCCTTTACTTCTAAACAAAAAGAAAAAAAAAACTTTGGACTTCTCACTACTTGCCCATCATCAATTATGTTTGTAAACATTTTCAAAAGCTCCTATTTCCAAACATTTTCAATGTGAGGTTAAAATGATCCCACATCATTCTTCTTATTTTTTTCTAATTTTAATTTTATTTTGTATATCATTTTGTTTGGATGATGATGATGATGATGATGATGATTATTGTTACTATTATTATTATTATTATTATTATTATTATTATTATTATTATTATTATTATTATTATTATTATTATTATTATCATTGACGATTTAAAAAAAAAAAAAAAGATTGACAAATTCACCAAAATTTTAACAAATTCGTCATTTTAACAATTTATCTTTAATCAAAACACTAAAAATATTATTTAATAACCCAGTAATTTGCTCTAAACTGCTAAAAACTAAAACAACACATACATTTTGGGTTAATCTTTCCCAACCCCACTAATAATAAATAAATAATAAATGATAAATGAATAAATAAATAAAAACAAATATAAGAATACAAAGCTAAGGTTTCTTAAATATAAACCTTTTAACTTCTCAATACTTGCAACATTGATGGACAAACAATTATGTTTGTACCTCTTATATAGAGGAGCTCAAGAGCTCATCTTTTCGAACATTTTCAATGTGGGATCAAAATAATCTCATATCATTTACAAAAGGGAGCCCGTGGCTCTCCTTTGTCTTATTCTTCTTTTTTTTTTTTTTTTTTGTTAATTTTAATTTTATTTTGTATATAGTTTTATTTGGATTATTATTATTATTATTATTATTATTATTATTATTATTATTATTATTATTATTATTATTATTATTATTAGTATTGTTGTTGTTATTATTATTATTATTATTATTATTATTATTATTATTATTATTATTATTATTATTATTATTATTGTTGTTGTTGTTGTTGTTGTTATTATTATTGTTGTTGTTATTGTTGTTGTAATTTGATTATTTGGCAAATTCGACAAAATTTTAACAAATTCGCATGTTTAACATTTTATATTTAATCAAAAGATCAAAAATTTTATTTAATAACTTAGCAATTTGCTCCAAACTGCTAAAAACTAAAACAATACGTATACATTTTGGGTTAATCATTCCCAAACCCCCTAATAAATTAAAAAAATTTAAAAAAAAAATAAAAGAAGAAGCCACTAAGATAAGGTTTATTAAATAAGAGCTTTTTGACTCGTTGGGCTTCAATAGGTTGAGAAAGTTTATATGAACATATATTATATGTAACAGGGTCAATCGAATAGTTATATTGTGGAACTGTGTCCACCTTGCAAGGTGGACACAATTCTATGTTAATAATTACTGAACTATATGTTCATAATTATAAAGCTATATATTCATAATCTTTGAACTTCATATTCATAATTATTGAACTCTATATTCACAATTAAAAAACTATATGTTCATAATTACTTAATTATCTGTTCATAATTATAAAGCTATATATTCATAATTTCTGAAGTTCATATTCACAATTATTGAATCTCTATATTCATAATTACATAACTATATGTTCATAATTATGTTCACAACACTATGTTCATAATTATAGAACTATATATTCATAATTATGAACAATTTTGGAACCGTGTCTACCATGCAAGGTGGACACCGTTTCACAGCATAATTTATCGGGTCAATAGTACTCAAAAATTAAATAGGAGCCTTTGGACATCTCAATACTTGCTCACATTGATGGTCAAACAATTATGTTTGTATGAGGAGCAATGCTCATCTTATATAGAGGAACTCAAGAGCTCCTCTTTTCAAACATTTTCAACGTGGGATCAAAATGATCCAGCATCATTTACAAAGGGAGCCCGTGGCTCCCTTTTGTTTTCTTCTTATTATTTTTAATTTTAAATTAAATTTTATTTTGTATATCATTTTGTTTGGATTATTATTATTATTATTATTATTATTATTATTATTATTATTATTATTATTATTATTATTATTATTATTATTTGATTATCGATAAATTTGCAAAATTTTTAATAAATACGTCATATTAACATTTTAACTTTAATCAAAACCAAAATATATTATATAATAACTCAGTAATTTACTCCAAACTACTAAAAACTAATACAACACATACATTTTGGGTTAATATTCCACAACCCCCACTAATAATAAACAAATAAATAAATAAATAAAAACTAAAATAAGAAGACAAAGTTAAAAGTTATTAAATAAAAACATTTTGACTTCTCAATACTTGCCCACATTGATGGGCAAGCAATTATGTTTATAAGAAGATAATTGCTCCTCTTATATAGAGGAGCTCTCTCTTTTCAAACATTTTAAATGTGGGATCAAAATGATCCCACATCATTTACAAAGGGAGCCGGTGGCTCGCCTTTGTTTTTTTTTTTTTTGGTTAATTTTAATTTTATTTTGTATATAGTTTTTGTTTGGATTATTATTATTATTATTATTATTATTATTATTATTATTATTATTATTATTATTATTATTATTTTTGTTGTTGTTGTTGTTGTTGTTGTTGTTGTTGTTATTGCAACTAGTATTTTCACCCGTGCGATGCACGGAATGGAATTGTTGTAATATATTAAGAATATTTAAATTGATACATAATTATTTAAGATTTAATTTCACCAGAGGTCGCTTATATTTCCTGACAATTTCAAATTTAATCCTAGACTATAGTTATTAATTATTACGATTTATTCTATGTCATAATTCTTACGTTAATATTCTTACTATTATTATTAACACTTAATTACTTTTAGATATTAGAATTACCACTTATATTATTATTATATTATTATTATTATTATTATTATTATTATTATTATTATTATTATTATTAGTTTCTTTTCAATTTCTGTTAGTATATAATGGCCGTGAGGCATAATAATAATATAACCATAATTAAATATTCTTGTATTGTATTCTGTGAGTCACAATAATAATATAATAATAATTAAATTATCTTCAATTCTACATTCTTCTAGGATTTCTATTACCATCATTAATTATTCTCTAATTTACCATAATTAAATAATTTGACCAATTATAAAGAGAGATTATTAAATAATGCACGGGACAATTTTTTAATTAAAAATTTTAAAAATTCATTAATAAAACATAAGGTTCTCATAGTTTTTTTCTTAAAAACTATTTAATAAAGCATTTTTTTTAGTTGGGCCAAACTACCTACGGCGGATAGATCTCGAAAAAATACGCGATTTCAAAAAAACATTTGTCCAAAATGGACAACCGAGTCAAAAGTTATGCCTTGACGAACTTTTGACACTTTACAACTTAATAATAATAATAATAATAATAATAATAATTAATCGTCGGTTCAGCTGGCAAGGCGCCCGCGGAGGATGCCGATTCCGGCCTTCCTCGCCGCGGCCAGCTGTGCGATTTTTGCAACACTGATATATAGTATAGATATAGATTAGAATAGGAATAGTATTACCCAATTTTATAATATTAGAATAGAATTTTAACCTAGAATTATTGTACGAATGGGAAAGTAGAAATCAATATATTTTATTAAGAAAGATTTTTTAGGAATTCAGCGAGAAGTTAAAATTTCAGGATTTTGTTTTTATATATAGTATAGATTACAATAGGAATTGCATTACACATTACAATAGGAATTGTATTACACTATTTTATAATATTATAATAGAATTTTATCCTAGAATTATTGTACGAATGGAAAAGTAGAAATCAATATATTTTATTAGGAAGAGAGATTTTTTAGGAATTGGGCGGGAAGTTAAAAGTTTAGGATTTTGTTTTTATATATAGTATAGATATAGATTTGATTATTTGGCAAATTCGCCAAAATTTTAAGAAATTCGTTTGTTTAACATTTTATATTTAATCAAAACACCAAAAATCTAACTCTATAATAAAGCAAGAAGTTTTTGGCAATCTATTTTCTCGCCCATTTGATACTACGCCGTTTTGGTAGACTAATATTTAGCGATATATCAGTTATTTTTATTTTGCGCGTGTAATGTGATTACACATTGGGAATATGCCTAGCCCTTTTGAAAGGCAACTATTCGTATTCAAGTATCATACAATCCTTGGTTCCCAAGGAGTTCATTTAATGTAGAAGTCTTGGTAGTGTAAACAAAATGATTAATATCAACGCATAAGGAAGGCCTCCGGCCTACATGTTATGAGATGCATGCAGTAAAATAACAAGAAAAAAAAAATATATTACATAGAATATGCAGAGTTTAAATTTGCATATACACATTGAATGAGATGTGCGATTTCCAATACAGTGGTTGCTGGTCATCTCTTGGTTTATTTGAATATTCAATCTGTATAAATAGCCGGCTTCTTCATGCCAAAAACCCTTCCCAAATCCAGTTCACTTTACTACCATTTCGAATCAGTGTTGGTTGAACAAAATGTCTTCCATGTTCATTGCTGTAAAAAACATCAAGCCGGAACACCAGCTCAGGGCAATCTGGGTGAGAGCAGTACGGGTATACGAAGTGCCTGAGAAAAGGGGAGAGGGCCAGGCCAGTAAGAGCATGGAAGTATTGTTCCATGATGAAGAAGTACTGTTTTTTAGTTTCAAAAAATCGTATTCATGCTATCTACTAATCTAATGGTCTTTCAATGTGTATAAATTTGTTTTTTTTTTTTTTGATTGGCAGGGAGACTACATTCATGCCAACATTATGAAAAAAGACATTGTAAAATATAGAGAAATATTACAAGAAGGGAAAGTTTTTGAAATCAAAAACTTCATGGCTTCTACAAATTACTATGTCTACAAGATTACAGAACATGACTTCCTGATCAAATTCAACTATAGAACACAAGTGAAGGAGATACATTTTAATGGATTTCCTTTCAAAATGTTTCGCTTAAAGAGTTTCATTGCTTTGAAAGATCCTGCCGATGTTAATGACAAGGAACTGATTGGTACTACCTTTACTTTTCTTATGTTTGTTACTATCTTACTAAACTTAATTGCTAATATCTTCCTAACATGTTTCTGTATTTTTTTCTAATTTTTTGGTAAATTGGCAGATGTGATTGGAAGGGTCATTGAGATCTATAATCCTGTGGACAAGATTATAGGTGGAAAGGCAACCAAACTGATTGACTTTCAAATTGAAGACAATGCGTAAGTTTTTAAAAATGAACTTTGATTCAATTAGAAACTGATTATGTGATTTTTTAATGTAGTACTTTTTTTTTCTGTTTGGAATCCAGTGACAACACCCTGACATGTACACTTTGGAATGAACATGTATCTTCCCTTATGCCTTATTACAATAGTGATTCGAAAGAACCACTGATTGTAGTCATTCAGTGCTGTCGGGCTAAAGTTGTTAGTGGTGAGTTTCTACATACTTTTCTGTATAATATCTATTAATCAATCCAGCTTTTAGACTAATATATGTCTATATTTTTTTTATTTTTTTTTTTGCAGGTGAGGTTAGAATAACCAGTTCATATGATGCTACGAAGCTTTGGTTCAATGAGGATTTTGAGGAATTCCATGAGTTTAAATCAAAGTAAGTTCATCTTTTTTATTTGTCCTATTTGTTAGATTCATCTGTAATAATCTATGCTCTATTATGTATTACAGATTTTAGAAAAACAAAATTGTTATTTTAAATGCTGTCTACTGTGTTCTAGAAAAAAAAAGATATTATCTAAAATTCTATATGTACTGTAATCTACATTTGTGACTTTAGTAGCATGCTGTACACTGTAATTTTTTTCCAACTTTAGCAAACTACTAATCAAAAAAATTGATAGCTATTTTCAGAAAAGGAAATAAGGCTAATAGGTTGTTTAAGCACATATGTTTTTTTCTTTTAGTCAAGTACAAGTATGTGCATTCAGATAGTATAAAAGTTTCTAATATTTATGAAGGTTGAAAGCTGAAAATACTCCAATGAGAAGTCTTAGTACTGGCACCCTACATTCAAACTCTACAGGGATTAGTGAGTTTAAAAATGCTTCTGTTATTGTCACTAACTGCCATGATCTTAAGAAGGTTAAAGAGGTAATCCACACACTCTGCTAACTCTTCTTACTTTTATTTTATGTCACTGATTTGGTTAATTGCTATATCTTCTTATAAAATGATGTGTATACTATGGGATGGGGAATACTATGTGGCTACTGAGATTTTAGGGTTAGATTTTGAGGATGGTTGGTACTATTTATCATGCCTGACACCGGGATGTAATAAGAAACTAAAAGAACAGGAAGGATCACTGATTTGTACTAAGTGTCACAAGCCTTGTGTGATGGGTACAGTTAGATATAAAGTTGTTGTAATTGCTCTTGACAAAAGTGGAGATGCTCCACTATTGCTTTGGGATAGAGAAGTGGCAGAACTTGTGGGTATTCCTGCTTCGATTTTGTATGCAAAATACAAGGAGGTAAATTTTTCTTTTTGGCTATACAAAATTTATTCTATACTTTTTGATGCAGTTTGTAATTTAGTATTTTATCACCTACCTAAACAGGTTGATGTTGAAGTGCCACCTGAGTTGGATGCTATAGTTGGAATGAAGATGCTGTTTAAGATCAATTTTAAACTGGCTCTAAAGAGGGGTCCCAATTACCCATTCAATGTTGTGAGGGTGGTCAGGGAAGAACACTTGTTGAAAACCTATAGTGATAGGTTTGTGGAGCATCAAGACCAAGACTTAATGTCTAGGATGATTGAGGAGGAAACTAACCCTGATGCAATTTCTAAAGTAATAATTTCAAACCAACCGGTCTTAAAAATGTTTTTTTTTTTATTATGAGGGTGACTAATTTGGTTTACTCCTTTTGTTAATAACAGGAAGACTCTATTGGAGTGGAGGTTAATAGTCCTGCATCTGTCCAGCCCTCACAAAAGGAAGGAGATGACAGTGTTGACAACTCTGGAGCTATTAAAAGGTCACTTTTGGATGAGTTTTCATCATCCAAAAGTAGGAAGAAGTTGAAGGAATCAGAGATCAAAAAGGAAAAAATGTAGTACTGCAAATGGTTGTTTCTGAATGTTGTGACCCTGTTACTATCCAGACATATTGACTATTTTGAGATTTTCTAATCATGTGGTGTGATAATTATTCAAATTTAGTTTTTGGGATATTTTCTAAGTTTTAGTTACTGTTTTGATGAGATTGCCTAACTGTTTATTACAATATTAAACTATCTACTGCTATTAGAACATGTTTTGCAGTTTTTTAAATTTTCATTTCAGGGGATTGAGAACAAGGATGATCGAGGGCCAAGGTTTTAAAATGAAGACACGTGGGACAAAATTTGGCAAGGAACTGACACTATCTACATGTAGTTTTGTATAGGTTCCATTAGAATTAAATACTAAACTTCTCTTATAAAAGAATATGTAAGTTACTAAGAATAGTTAAGAGCAACAAATTTTGGCAACTAATATTCCAAATATAAACTCTTATAACTAACTACCTTGTGCCTGAAAAATAAAGCTAATTGTACTCAAGCTACGTATGATAGAAGTTCAACTATACCACTTATTAGAGTTATTTGTACAGAGTGGATACTAACCTATTTGCAAAATCTTCTTTTACTCTGTTTGTAACTCTCCAATGCACTTTATGTCCATGCTGGTATCCCTGTAAAAATATGCTAGCACATTTTAAAAAAAAAATTAATACAAGTTACTAAGAGCAATCTTTTTAATATAAAATAAACAAATTAATAAGAGTTACTAAAATTTTTCTTTTTCTGTGATATACAATAAAACAGTAAATTTTCTTCTACAATTACATAAATTGCATTTGAGAGTACACAAGTAAACAATAAAACAATGCACCTAAGTAACAAAAATATTTGAATCCAGTCAAAAGTGTTCAAGTTTTGAAAATGTGGGAAAATTTAAATGAGAAATTAAGTACTAATCTTAGGTTAAGCTTCAAAAAAATTATATTAATCTAAAAAGTTTAATTATTCTACCAAAGCCATTAATTGTTCTATACAATGAATTATATATACCCAGTACTACACTAACTAATGCAAATGGGATTAAGTAAATCAAATTGCATAAAAAAAACACAGTAAAAGAAGCTTAGAAGAGTTTGAAAAATTTGAGTCGCTGTGAATTAATAAATATTCACAGTAATTAACACAGTATCAACCAAATCCAAAAACCAAATAGTTAATTCTCATTACTGTGTTAATTGATACTGTAATTGAAGTGTACAAATATGCTAGCACATTACAAAAAAAAAATTAATACAAGTTACTAAAAGCAATATTTGTAATATACAGTTAACTCAAACACTTAGAATCTCCTTTTAAGTAGAAAAAACTTTTGATCCTACACCAATCTTTAATCTTCTGTGATATAGAATAAAACAGTAAAATTTCTACTAGAATTACATAAAGTGCATTTGAGAGTACACAAGTAAAAAATAAAACAATGCACCTAAGTAAAACAAATATTTGAATCCAGTTAAAAGTTTTTAAGTTTTGTAAATGTGGTACAATTTAAATGAGAAAGTAGGTACTAATCTTAGGTCAAGCTTCAGAAAAAATTTATTAATCTAAATAGTTTAATTACTCTACCAAAGCCATTAATTGTTCTATACAATGAATTATATATACCCAGTACTACACTAACTAATGCAAATGGGATTAAGTAAACGAAATTGCATCCACCAAAAATTACTTTAGTAGCTTATAAGAGTGAAAATTGTAATGGATAGTGTAAGGAATTCCAAAAATGCAAATAAACCAAGAATCCAACATAAATTGGATTCCTGGGATATTCATCCAACAATCAAAGACACTGCAAATCTAAGAAATAATAAATGGTCTATACTTGAGGACAATTTGTTAAAAAGATTCTGTTTAATTCAAAGTGTCTAAAACGAGACATCGGCTGTATCATATAAAGCCCAGCCAAAGCAAAAATTAAATGATAGTTGGATGAACTATTGCCTTACACAGTGCAATGAACAAAATTACAAACTATGCCATTATATGCATAAAAACTAATCTAAAGTCAGGAAATAAAGGTAAAATCTTAACCTATTATCTTAGATGACCATGCTGATTTTAGTTGTCTTATACATGCTGGCTTATGGATTATTTGCTGCTCTTCAATTCCTCCAGATCTTGGATTATTTCCCTCTCAGAAGAATAAGAAAAAAAAATCAGGTTAGAAATTGTGTTCCGAATATTAAAGAACAAAACCTTCAGCAAAAGGATAAATTGGCATAACAAAGAATTGTTGAGTATTAGAAGCAAAGAATCAATGTGTTCAATATTCTTACAACTTATCTACAGAAATTGAATAAATGCAACTATTGGGCTGTGAAGTAAAAGTTAATAATTCTTATGGAAAGAAACACATTTTTTCCATATTAAATATAATTGATGGCCAGCTATCATTACTATTAAAAAAAAAAAACCCTTCAGTTCCACTCCGAATCTCAAAATCCAGCAAAAAGTTAAATAAACTAGAATGAACCCATGTACTGATAGCTGCCCTATTCAATTCAATAACCCTAAAAACAGTTATTGAATTTGAGACCTTAGCCAAAGAGAGAATTGACAGCTACTTTTTCAAGTACACACAATACACAGTACAATGAAGAAAATTTCTAAGTCAACAATTATAGGCATCAAAAGGAAACCAACTGAGGAAAATAAAGGTAAGTTCGAAACTTATCTTTTTCATACTTGAAATCAAGCTGCAATGAATTATCACTCTTGCTTTCCGATTGTGTTTCTGCTCTCCATCTCCTCAAATAACTCAAGTTTGTCCATATCAAATAACATGAAAAAGTAATTAACAGGTTAGGGATTGTGTGAATAATAGTAGAGCTATAGCATTTAGAACATGAAATTTACACAGTTAACAGGAATTTCAGTTGGGTGTTTTTACAGCAACACTAAAAAGAAAACGATTTAGAACCCTAATTGCTCTTAATCATACAAATCTGGAATGAAGAAATTATATCTATGAGAATCGATCTGCATGCTTAACTATTGTTAACAAACTAAGAACATTAAATCCAGAAAATTCGCACAATTTCATAATGGACAACAGTGATGCCTAAGAAACCCTAAATTAATTGACTGACAATTGAAAGCAGACTAACCTTGAACTAGAACACTAGCTTCACTTCATCCAGATTTCCACGCTTAACTGATATTGAAGCCTCCGATCTTTCCCAGAAATGAAAGATTGCGATGATGTAGTGAGAGACGGATCATAAGGATCTATACCCGAATAGAAATTCTCGGGAATTAATGTTCAATAACAAGAGATGAAGGCAAGATAATGATAGCGGAATGATCTAGATTTAGGCTTGAGAGTGAGAGATCGATAGATTATATGTTAGCGGTGGAAGGGATGAGATCGGTTTAGACAGAGAAAGGAGAAGGGTATTCACCCTTCGTCCTCATCTCACGAGATTCCGACCGAACAAAATGTTTATATATATATATATATATATATATATATATATATATATATATATATATATATATAGAAGAGCGCTCATATGCGGCGGGGTCTTACGGTGCGGCGGTGCGGTCAAATTCCAGAATACACCAACAGTGTTAACAATATGCACCAACAGTGTAATAAAAACACACCCCAATGAAATATAATAAAACATCACAAAATACACCACAGACTCAAAAAAATACACCATATAACTCACCACCCCCAATGGTGTATTTCCGAACAGTGTATGGTGTTTTTACTCACACCTAATGGTGTGTGTTTGGTGATGCAGGGCTCTGTTTACTCTGTTTTGTGTGGTGTATTTCCTAACCTTGATGGTGCATATTTGGTGAACTATTGGTGTTGCCGCACCGTAAGAAATAACTGCACCGTAAGACACTGCCGCACCTGAACCCGCCTCTATATATATATATATATATATATATATATATATATATATATATATATATTTAAATATATATGATAATACTAAGCAATGTAGTCTAATTGTACCCATAAATATCTAACTTAAATATTAAAACTTAGTTCTAGATGTTTTTTTTTTTAATTTATACAATTTTGCTTAAATGTTATTTGCTTAATGTGTGTTCTATGTTCCACCAAATAATCTTTTTAATAATGTTAGCATTATATATAAAGATTACAAATTTTTTATGTTGTACAATAGTGAAATCAATTATTTTATGTGTATTTAATTGGTATCACTGTTAATTATGATATATCATTCATAATTATAATGTAATTCATGGTTCACACAACTTTGCGTGGAATGGTACACCAAATAATTAGTCTTCATATGATTGACTTTTTAATATCAATTTCTAATTTCTGCTTTACAATAGTTAAATTTCTTATGTTATGTGTAATTAATTGATTAGATTTGTATTAATGATATATACTTTTTAATTCTAATGTTATTTAGTGTCCACAAAATTGTGTGGAACATGGTCTACCAAATAATTGGTCCACTAAAATGTAATCCTTATTTATAGCAATTACAATTTGATGTTCTAGGCTAGCATAAGTAATAATGTTAGTTGTACTTAATTTATAATATTGTAACTTATGTAATTTATTTTGTTATTATAATGTTCTTCATAATCAACAAATTGAAAAGCTTTGTTTCACACCTACTACTTTCTTTTATAATGTTACCCTAATTTTGAGCAATTACAAATTAATGTTGTACAATTGTCAAATTAATTATGTTATGTGTACTTAATTTATACGATTGTTAATTATTTGAATTTATTTTAATTTTAATGTTATATTGTATATCACAGAAAATTATTACGGCAATTCATCATCAAGGAATAATGCTGCTCAAGGTCCAGAGCAACCTACGGCAACTAATCATACCCGAATTCCTATTGGAGGGTGTTTGTCTCAAAATATCACACCATTGAGTAACATCACTAATGGTAAATCCCCTAAGATTTATTGATATACATTCATTGTGAATTTAAATATCCTTATTGTTTTAATTCTTAAAAAATGTTTGTGAAATGAAATTGCGATGTACCAAGTTATTTTATCATGTTAGCCTTATTTATAGAAATTACAAATATATGTTGCACAATTTATAAGGTTGATAGTATGATATATCATTTTTAATTATAATCTTATTCATGTGCCAAAAAACTTTTTGGTCCATGGTCCCGTGCATAAAATTGGTCTTATAATGTTTGCCTTACTAATAGCAATTACAAATTTATGTTGTACATTACTAAAATTAATTACGTTATGTTTTCTTCATTTATAAGATTTTTACGTATGTTATTTTATTTGTTATTTTAATGTTCTTTATAGTCAACACATAGCTTAGGTCCATGGTCCACCAAGTATTTTTTTTTATAATGTTAAACTTATCTATAGCAATTACAAAATTGTGTTGTACCGTAGTCAAGTTATTTAGTTTAGGTGTAATTAATTGATAAGGTTGTTATTTATGTTATCTTTTCTCATTTATAATGTTATATTGTATATCACAGAAAATTCTTACTCTAAATCATCATCAACAAATACTGTTGCTCAAACTACAGGCCAACCGTATCGTACACAATTTTCTATTGGAGGGTGTTTCACTCAGAATATCACACCGCTTAGTAACATCACTAACGGTAAATCCTCTAAAATGTAGTGATTTACATTCATTTAAATATTAAAACATCGTTATACTTTAAATTCGTCTAATATTATGTATGTGTACCGTAGGTTCGTCCAAGACACAAATACGCTCAAGCAATTGCCAGCGATTTATTTTTGGAGAGTTCAAAAACCTATATCAACCATAGAAAAATCTTGCGTGACTGGTAACTTCCTATACTCATATGTTATATAATTTTAAGAAATGATAAAGCCAAATATAATTTTTGTTTTTATTAATGTTTTCAATATAGGTTGTATCTCACAAGATAAATTAGCAATTCGTAAACCATTACATAAGTCTGCAATTGAAGAAGACCATGTAACAAAAAGAGACTTGCTATTAGGCTTTGAAGAGGAATCTAACCCTTTACTGATCGAAGCACCAAATCATGGCATAGCAGGTAATAATAGTAGCTGCTTCTTTTTCAAACAACTATAAGCAAAGTAAAATTGAAAACCTTCAACTATTAACATTGATTTATAAATGTATTTGTAATTTCAGATGTTGATATATCGATTAACGATGTAAGGCATAACTCGGATATTGGGACATCCTCTGGTCAACAACATGGTATGTAACAAAGGTTTATATCTTAATAAAAAATAAATCGATATATAATTTTTTATATATCTGGTTGCAGATCAGTACTGCGATTTTGGTGATACAGCCAATAAATGCGTCCACTGGGGCGTTGTTTTGGTTTGAAGAAAGGAAGAAGAATTTGTCCACTAAAGCTTCGCCACTGTTTTCGTTGTGCTGCAACAATGGGAAGATCAAGTTGCCGGAGAATAAGTTGCCACCAAAAGGTATATTTGATCTCTTTTTCGGCAATGACAAATTATCAAAAGAATTTTTACACAACATCAGGACCTACAACAACATGTTCTGCTTCACATCCATGGGCGGAAAAATTGACAAGACCGTGAACAAGGGAGGCGCACCTCCTGTTTTTCGATTAAGTGGACAAAACTATCACCTAATGGGCAGTCTACTTCCAGAAGAAGGCAAAGAACCTCATTTTGCCCAGTTATACATATACGACACGGCAAATGAAAAGAACAACCGTATAAATGCTGTGAGGTAAACAAGTTAGCGTAATTACACATAACATACTATTTGTAATCTAAATAATTATCAATGCAAAGTTTTTGTTGTTGTAGGGGTAGTGGTGAGCAAGATGACATTCATGTAGAAATAGTGAATGTCATTCAGAAAGACCTCAATGAAAATAATGTTTTGGTTAAGTCTTTTCGGATGGCTATGTCTGAGTTGGATATTAACCCATGCGCCGAAGTCAAAATAAAGTTGTTGGGAAAACGAACTAAAGATGCAAGGACATATAATCTGCTGCAAGTGTCAGAAGTAGCAGCTTCAATAGTGGGAGATCTCGATACCAGTATTGGTGAGCGTGATATTATTGTTCAAGCTATGGGTGGCCACCTACAGAGGATCAGTGAATTAAATCCTTCATACCTACCACTGCAATACCCTCTTTTGTTTCCATATGGCGAAGACGGTTATCGGGAAGATATTGCATTCGCGAACGTAGTCGGCAAACGTTCTGCAGGTGGTAGACAGAGGATTAGTCCCATGGAGTTTTTTTTGCTATCGCATCTAGTCTAGAGAGTCAGCTCCGAGTACCATTCTATTTGCAAAGCGGTTGTTCCAACAGTTTGTTGTAGATGGATACACAATGGTTGAGTCTGGAAGACTAATTTATATCAGGACACACCAAAAAAAGCCTAAGGTGTGAGAGTTACAGTGGATTAACTAATGCTTTAACAAGGGGTGAAGTCAACCCCGCAGCCCAAGGTCGAAGAATAATACTACCTTCAAGTTTTACTGGTGGTGCTCGATACATGATACAAAACTACCAAGATGCAATGGCAATATGTAGATGGATTAGATACCCAGATTTATTTATAACCTTTACATGCAATCCAAAGTGGCCTGAGGTGCAACGCTTTTTAAAAGATCGAAGGTTGAATGCAGAAGACCGGCCGGACATAATTTGCTGCTTATTCAAGATGAAGTTGGATGCCTTGATAGCTGACTGTCGAAAGAATAAACTTTTTGGCCCTGTGGCGGGAGGTAATATTTGTTTTTTTTTTTACATCAAGTTTGTTACAATTTTATTTAATTACGTAACCTTATGATGTTTATGTCTATGATGTTGCAGTCATATATACGATTGAGTTCCAAAAGCGAGGTCTTCCGCATGCTCATATATTGCTTTTTTGGAGAAAAGTAAAGAAGTTAGTCAAGTTGTTATTCTAGACAAGATAATTTGCGCAGAGATTCCAGATGAAAAGAAAGATGCAGAGTATTACCAAGCGGTAGAGGAATTTATGATGCATGGTCCATGTGGAAAAGCGAGGACCAATTCTCCATGTATGGTAAATGCACGATGCTCTAAACATTTTCCTAAGAGATTTGTTGAGAGTTCTACATTTGATGACGATGGTTACCCGGTATATAGAAGGAGAGACAATGGCAGTATAGTTACAAAGAACGGGATCGCTTTGGACAACAGGTATGTGGTACCGCACAATAGACATTTATTGCTTAAGTATAAGGCTCATATAAATGTCGAGTGGTGCAACTAGTCACGC